TGAAATTCTCTAGGGTTAAGATTTAGGAAATCTTGACCTAAAACACCGGCTAAATCAGGTTGAGTGTCACAGGCGATTGTGCTAAATTTTACTAATTTTTTAGCAATTAATATATGTACTGTTCCTGTGGTGAAAATATATTCTGGGGTTAAAATGTAAGTTTCAGAGCGATCGATAATCGTTTCTGAATTTATGTGAGTTTCTTTAATTAAATTAATATCTATGGCCTTATTTATGATGAATAGACCTCTCGAGTTTTTTATATTACTTGACGAAATATGAATTTTTGGATAAATTTCAGTATTAAAAATAATATTGTTAGTTTGATAGTTCATGAGTTTAACAATTTAACGAGGGAGACTGTAAAAGCGATGGTTGCGAAAAAATTGAGTAATGCGTCTCGTAATTCTCTGTCGAATTGTTTCGTCTTGTCTCTAAATGGTCCTTTCGTGATCGATTGCCCAATTCAGAAAATACTCTGTTTTAAACAGTTGATTTAAAATGGTGCCCCCAAAATACCAGTAATTTCGGTGTTACTTTGATAATCAATAACTCCAAAATCTAATAAAAATTCTGAAAATTGAATTTTAACCTCTCCTCTCATACGTATCGATTTTTGGAAATATATTGATATTATGTTTCTATCAATGATTGTAAAGGGTGAGATTTGAGATTCTTTGATTAAATTTGTCGTTAAAGTTAAATCGATAAGAAAATTTCCGCGGTTTAATAACCTATGATTTTGCTATTTTATTTTCAGAATGAATTTTGCTTTTATCATTTAATCTATTTGAGTTTTTAGACTTTTTCGCTGGTTTAAAGAAAATGGAGATATCTTCTTCTATTTTTAATTGTACGTTAAAAACATTCAATGGGGTTCCTATTAATTCTATAGATTCCTCATTTACTTTGCTTTTCTTACAAAGCTTTGCACAATTAATTAAATTTATTTTCAGAATATTTAGACAACAATTATTATTCATTTAGAAACAATATTAAGGGTTGAAATTTAAAATATTGTGTCCACAAAATACAGATATATATATACTATGCACAAATGAAAAGAAAACACATTAGTTTGATGTAAAATTTTCAGTTTAAAAGGCTTATGAATTTTTAGGAAAATGAAATGATTGCAGAGCAGTGATATTTAATTACTCTTGTTCTAAGTATTGAAAATCGTCAACTTGCACCTTTTAAGGAAAGAATTAAATTTTCGAGAACTCCGAACTGCGAGGGGAAAATAAAAATTCTAAGTGTCAACAATAAACAATTTGCACGATAATCGAGTACAATTCGGACCGTATTGCCGATTAAAGAAAGAACAATTGTTAATTTTTATTACTGGAATTATTTAACAAAAGTGGCAATCCCACCGCTGCTACCAAATCAGCTGTCACGTCCCGAGCAATGGTAGACTTTATTTATTGTTAAATAAATAATTGAGAAGCAAGTTTAGCTGATTAACAGATTGGTAAGATCTGCATTTATTTTTAATGTAGGATCGCGTCACTTTGAAAGAACTAAGGGTTCTCGTTAAATAAATTATATGCACATTCCCTTTTTAAAACGATTTATTGTTTAAATATTTCATAGAATAACAATTAGATATACTTACAGTTATTATCTTAGATTCAACTGACAATTAATAAGCTGCAACCGGCTGAACACGGCTGCCACACAGATTGCAATTATAAGATTTCAGTTCGTTAATATTCACTCATATACACGACTTTTACACATTATTACAATTATTAATTTTTTTCTAAATGTTGCATTCACGTTACAGTACCTTGATACAAAAGAAACTCGTTTCTTTATAACGGAATCAACTTGCACCAAATTGGAAAGAGAAACAATTAATATAAAGAAATTATACGACAATTATGTAGTATCGAAATTAGATCCAATTATACAATTTTATTCCGTACTTTAAGTAAAGAAACGAATTTCCTATGATAATTACACTGACTCTAACTGCAATATACACGATTGAAGGGCCGAACTTAACAATGAACGTATTACAAGAACGCGTCGAAGTTAATGACATTTGTTCTTCACAATTCAGGGGTTTATATATTAGCTAACTGCATAGAATTTAATGGGGGTAAAACACGTGCAAGAGCCAAAAAGTAGAAGTCACGTTTTTGAGCTAAAAGATAGAAAGCACGTACAAAGTATCAGATATCAGTAATAACTAATACATTTTCAACTCTTGAACAAAGGTTGATTTATAACATTTGAATTTATGTAACTATCTTATCGACGGTAAACTTAAGACAACTACTCGTTGGGTACTTATCATTTGTCTGAGTAATAAAGTTTAGAAGCGCGACAATCGGACAATTATCATATGCTTAGATAATTTACCGACCGCTGCTCTAATACCTACATGTCGCTAGATTTAAATTGAATTTTAGTCGGATCTATAATCAATAATAAGGTTTTATACTTTATAATTATTAATTATACTATATAGTTGTATTTAATTAGGTATTAAGTGTTTTATTAATTAAATTATATATTTATGATAATTGTTTTGCATAAATGAAAAGAGAAATTAAATAGAAAATTTGTTACCGGGATGTAACATCATGAGAGAAGCAATAAAGGAAAGCACTAGGTTAGACGAAGAAATACAGTCATTAAAACGTTCTTAAATAAAATCATTTATCTGTTGCCTTAAATTAAATTTAATTTTAATAATGTTAATCGCATAAGCTTTTTTTTAAAATGGTGTTTATTATTTGCTTTATATTTTTATGCATAAATTAAAAATATTTGCAGAAAACTTAAAAATTTTGTTAGCAATATGTCGTGTATACAATATTGTATTATAATTATAACAGAATTATTATTTACTAGCAAAATTACACGCGCGCAAGCGCGCGTCCAACTTTAATTGCCATGGTTATTTTAAAATAATAATAATATTAATAATAATAATAATAATAATAATAATAATAATAATAATAATAATAATTCTGCATCAGTGGAGTATTAAATTAATAATAGGTATATTTCTAATTTTCACGTTATCATTTATTTATACACAGAAAAAAATGAGTTTGATGTTATATAAATAAATAAATTTAAGTAAAAATTTTAAAATATAAATATTAAAATTATAGAAATAAATATTTTTGATAAACTCAATGTTCGATGAATTTTTTATAATCTTTCAAATTACAAAAAATTAGTTATGCTAAATATTTTTTTGTATTTTCTATAAATATTTCGTTGCAAATGAAAATTTTAAATTTATGTTTTTTTTTCAAAAAATTTAATTAACTGATAATTAATAAATATTAAAAAATTATGTAATCAAAAAGAAATTTAAATTAACAGAAAATTATTAATTATATTTTAAAAAGTATTAAGCAATTAAAAAATATTTAAAAATTTTGAAAAAATAAAACCTAAAAAAAATTTGTAATGTTTTAAACTTTAAACTTAAATTAAAAATTAAAATTAAATTGAAAATTTTTTTAAAAAGCAAACTATTTTTATATTGTTTATAGATAAAAAAATATAAAAATTTAATAATTAATAATAAAAACAAATTAATAATAATAAATTTATGAATAATAATATATAATAAATAATAATGAATAATGAAAAAATAATGAAAGAAATAATAATTATAAGTTAAAATGTTCTAATTATCTGTAATAATCATTATATTTAAAAAAATGTATATATAATATAATAAATTTATAAATAATAATAAAAATTATATTATAATTGAAACTTTTTTTTCTATAAATACCAAGTAGGGAATATACTGGTGCTGCACACAATGAACAATATTTTTTTTTTACTTTAAACTGTCACTTAGTATATGACTTAATTAATGACGATGAATAAAAATATCCGTCTCATTAACCATAAAATATTACGAAATCAAGAAATGTCAAAATTTTAGAAAAACAAATGAACAAAATACGACTAACTTCAAGTGTGGACAGACGGAATGAATGAATGAATACGGAAATTATTATAGTTAATTGTTCGAAGATCGTTTAAAAGAGAAAAAGTATGCAGAACAAAGACTGAATATATAAAAAGGTATTATTGTTAAAAGTTTCTTAAAAAAATAATTTATCTATTGTTTTAAATTTAATTTAACTTTAAGTACATAAATCGTATAATAAGATGTTTTTAAAACGATGTTCATGATTTGTCTTACATTTTATAAATAAATTGCAAACAACGGTATTTATAAATAAATGGTCCACGTAAAAAAAATCATAAAAATGTTTGTGCTTATTTTTTTCATGTTACATTAACTAGGAAAAGTTTATATAAACAGACATCCATTCTTGATCTGAATTAGTGAAGTCGTCCATTAATTTAAATTAGTAAGAGTTTTCAATAACTTTTTAAAAAATTATACTATTTGAATTAGTAGTTTTTATTTTTTGTACCAAAGTTTCATTACAGAATAATTAAAAATTAGTACAATTTTGACTAATTTGAATTGTTACATGACACTTTACTAATTAAAATTTAGAGAGTCATAAATAGTAAAATATTTTCAAAGTTCTTATGTTAAAAGTGCACCTTGAAAAACATTATTTTGGGCCTTGAAAACCTTGAAAAATCCTTGAATTCTTTTTTCAAGAACCGCTAGACACCCTGTATATGTCAACAAGCGTTTTCCATGTTTAAAATATGAGTAAAATTGAGGAAAGTGGAAACAAATTTTCTTCCCTATAAGAATAACATTGTGTCGTCTGTTTGTTTTCCCTCCAGCTATCTGACGTCATACTTGATTTCGAAATATCTCGATGAAATGACACAGCGTAACTCGCATCACCATCAATTAAAAAAATAAAGAAAAAGTTATTTCGCATCGATCCAGTTTCCAATGTAAAACATGTTTTTAGATGTAATTTGCCAAATCAATATACGATTTTTTCTCAGAATATAAAAAGTTTTAAATTTACAAAAAAATGTATTTAAAAACACTATGTTAAAGTTAAACGAAAATTTTTCAGATTGAAGAAACTATCATATACGACGCCGTTCAACACTTTAAAGAAGCTTTGTACGTATTAAGCACCAAAGATGTAAATATTCAACCAAAACCACTCTCCTGTGACAAGAATGAAAAATATCATGCTGGTACGGATATTGCAACATTGTTACGTGAGGTAAAAATTATTTTAAATATTCATCACCTTTTCGTAAGTAGAAAATAATCGTTTCAAATTTTTTTGTAATAGCGACTAAATAAGTGGTTAAGGGGGAGTAACACCTTTGACCCGGAAAAAAAATCAATTTTTATTCGTTTTCTTAAACGATACTTTATGATATGTAGAATAGAAATTATATCAGCAATTATATCAGCAAATTTTAAATTTTGTTTACTTTATTCCTGTGACTTAAAAAAATTCATGAAAAACAGGTTTAAAAGAGAATACTCCCACTGAATTGACCAAAAAATCGAATTTTATTTTGTAATGGTTTCAGTAGTAGTAAATTGAAAGAAAAAGGTCTGAACCTTCCGTCGGCGCACGGTTTTTCCAGTAAGAAGCGAAAAATTAAAAAGAATTGAAAATTTCTACCTTCCATAGAAAATGATATCTTAATTAACTTTTTGAATTCTATTTCTGTTAAATTCGTTTGTATTCTTTTTAGGGCTAAAGAGCGGATCCAAAAATGGTAGAAGAAATGTCTAAAAATCGACCAGATTAGCTTGAAACTTGTTACTCGAGGGTTTATGGGGTTGCTAAATACGAATCTAGAATCAGTTTTCAAAATTTCAAAATAGCGGATCCAAAATGGCCGACAATATTTCTAAAAATAACTCAGATCAGGATAAAACTTGTAACTTGGGGGTTTTTGTGGTGACTATGATTCTGGCGATTTCTGGGATCGCTGATTACGAATATGTAGTTGGATTTTCAAAATTCACAAAATTTAAAATGACCGATCCAATATGGAGAAGCGTGCAATAAGGATTTTAAAGTTGCTATTAATTTGACCTAAAATACCATTATTTTATGTAAGTCTTACGTATAAAAATTTGTATCTCCTAAACTTTTGAGAATACTATTTTGCCCTTATAGGTTTTTGTAGTAAAAAATACTTAAATAAACTTTTCGAAGCCTATGAGCACCATTTTTTTCAATTCTTATTTTTTCAAACGAAAGGTTTTCGGGACGATAATTAGAAATCTTACACAAGAAGCACGTAATATATCCTCAATATCAAGGTAATATTACACGTGAGATTCGTAATATAATGCTGTAATATTACAGTAATCTTACAGTAATATTACAGACTGATTTGAGTTATTCATAAAGCATAAAAAACGTAAATATATTATAAGTCAATTTGGCTTGTTGGTAAAACTCTGGACTCGTGTGCTTTCAGTTCGGGGTTCGATTCCCTGGATGGGTAGATTTTTTTCGTAAAGAAATGTTCCCATAATATTACTGTAATATTCTCTTGTAATATTACATTAATATTACGGTATAATATTACTGTAATATTACCTTAATATTAGCGCGTAATATTACAGTAACATTACCGGTAATATTACCTTGAGGCGGACATTTTAAGATCACTGTAAGATTACTGTAATATTACAACGTTATATTACGAAGCTTACATGTAATATTACCTTGATATTGAGGTTATATTACGTGCTTCTTGGGTACCCGCACACGGTGTTCTAGAAGCGAAGATAGGTTTCACAAAAATTCGAATAAAAACGGTTTGTGTAGCGTGTTTTGTACATATTTATAGGTTAAAAATCCATTTTAAATAAAGTCCTACCTGTTCCCGTTTTGGAGAAATCCATTAAAAACGTTTTTTTCACAGAATATTGTAGGGTATTATTTTAATCCTAAAATAGAGTGAAATAAGATAAGATACAAATAAGATCAAGGGGTCGGTGTCCTTTTTGGAAATTTGTTAACTTAATATAACAGAAGATGTTTCGTTTTAAAATAAGAAATGTTAAAATTATTAAGTTAAAAACAATTGATTTCAATGACACTTCAAATTAGGCACAATATTATAGGTTCCGCAATAAAAATTTAAAAAACAACAATAAATAATTTTAAAAAACCATAAAAAATTAAAAGAAATTGTTTATATGTAACTTTTTAAAAAAAGAGTAATTTTAAAGGTATATATCCAAAAATTCGTAAAAAATTGCATAAAATTGCAAAATAACCCTTTTTCGGGTTAAAATTAAAAAAACATGTTACAAAAAAAAGTATGTAAGATTTTCTAAAAGCATATGGCAAAGTATTTTAATTTATTTGAAAATAAGTGAAAATAGATTTTCCAAGGACGGTGTTGAGGTCACAGGGTCGGTGCCGTTTTTGGAAATTTGTTAACTTAATATAATAGAAGATGTTTCGTTTTAAAATAAGAAATGTTAAAATTATTAAGTTAAAAACAATTGATTTCAATGACCCTTAAAATTAGGCACAGTATTATAGGTTCCTAACTAAAAATTTAAAAAATAACAATAAATAATTTAAAAAAACCATAAAAAATTGAAAAAAATTGTTTATATGCAACTTTTTAAAAATAGAGTAATTTTAAAGGTGTATATCCAAAAATTCGTAAAAAATTGCATAAAATTGCAAAATAACCCTTTATTTCAAATGAAAATGCAAAATATCCCTTTTTCAGGTTAAAATTTGAAAAACATGTTACAAAAAAAAGTATTTTATATTTTCTAAAAGCATATGGCAAAGTATTTTAATTTATTTGAAAATAAGTGAAAATAGATTTTCCAAGGACGGTGTCGAGGTCACGGGGTCAGTGTCGTTTTTGAAAATTTGTTAACTTAATATAATAGAAGATGTTTCGTTTTAAAATAAGAAATGTTAAAATTATTAAGTTAAAAACAATTGATTTCAATGACACTTCAAATTAGGCACAATATTATATGTTCCTAACTGAAAATATAAGAAACAACAATAAAGAATTAAAAAAAAACATAAAAAATTGAAAAAAATTGTTCATATGTAACTTTTTATAAATAGAGTAATTTTAAAGGTGTATATCCAAAAATTCGTAAAAAATTGCATAAAATTGGAAAATAACCCTTTATTTGAAATGAAAATGCAAAATAACCCTTTTTCGGGTTACAATTAAAAAAACATGTTACAAGAAAAAAGTATGTAAGATTTTTTAAAAGCATATAGCAAAGTATTTTAATTTATTTGAAAATAAGTGAAAAAAGATTTTCCAAGGACGGTGTCGAGGTCACGGGGTCGGTGTCGTTTTTAGAAATTTGTTAACTTAATATAATAGAAGATGTTTCGTTTTAAAATAAGATATGTTAAATTATTAAGTTAAAAACAATTGATTTCAATGACTCTTAAAATTATGCACAATATTATAGGTTCCTAACTAAAAATTTAAAAAATAACAATAAATAATTTAAAAAAACCATTAAAAATTGAAAAAAATTGTTTATATGCAACTTTTTAAAAATAGAGTAATTTTAAAGGTATATATCCAAAAATTCGTAAAAAATTGCATAAAATTGGAAAATAACCCTTTATTTGAAATGAAAATGCAAAATAACCCTTTTTCGGGTTAAAATTTAAAAAACATGTTACAAAAAAAAGTATGTAAGATTTTCTAAAAGCATATGGCAAAAAATTTTGATTTATTTGAAAATAATTGAAAAAAGTTTTTCCAAGAACGGTGTCGAGGTCACGTGGTCGGTGTCGTTTTTGGAAATTTGTTAACTTAATATAATATAGAAGATGTTTCGTTTTAACATAAGAAATGTTAAAATTATTAAGTTAAAAACAATTGATTTCAATGACACTTCAAATTAGGCACAATATTATAGGTTCCGCAATAAAAATTTAAAAAACAACAATAAATAATTTTAAAAAACCATAAAAAATTAAAAGAAATTGTTTATATGTAACTTTTTAAAAATAGAGTAATTTTAAAGGTATATATCCAAAAATTCGTAAAAAATTGCATAAAATTGCAAAATAACCCTTTTTCGGGTTAAAATTAAAAAAACATGTTACAAAAAAAAGTATGTAAGATTTTCTAAAAGCATATGGCAAAGTATTTTAATTTATTTGAAAATAAGTGAAAATAGATTTTCCAAGGACGGTGTTGAGGTCACAGGGTCGGTGCCGTTTTTGGAAATTTGTTAACTTAATATAATAGAAGATGTTTCGTTTTAAAATAAGAAATGTTAAAATTATTAAGTTAAAAACAATTGATTTCAATGACCCTTAAAATTAGGCACAGTATTATAGGTTCCTAACTAAAAATTTAAAAAATAACAATAAATAATTTAAAAAACCATAAAAAATTGAAAAAAATTGTTTATATGCAACTTTTTAAAAATAGAGTAATTTTAAAGGTGTATATCCAAAAATTCGTAAAAAATTGCATAAAATTGCAAAATAACCCTTTATTTCAAATGAAAATGCAAAATATCCCTTTTTCAGGTTAAAATTTGAAAAACATGTTACAAAAAAAAGTATTTTATATTTTCTAAAAGCATATGGCAAAGTATTTTAATTTATTTGAAAATAAGTGAAAATAGATTTTCCAAGGACGGTGTCGAGGTCACGGGGTCAGTGTCGTTTTTGAAAATTTGTTAACTTAATATAATAGAAGATGTTTCGTTTTAAAATAAGAAATGTTAAAATTATTAAGTTAAAAACAATTGATTTCAATGACACTTCAAATTAGGCACAATATTATATGTTCCTAACTGAAAATATAAGAAACAACAATAAAGAATTAAAAAAAAAACATAAAAAATTGAAAAAAATTGTTCATATGTAACTTTTTATAAATAGAGTAATTTTAAAGGTGTATATCCAAAAATTCGTAAAAAATTGCATAAAATTGGAAAATAACCCTTTATTTGAAATGAAAATGCAAAATAACCCTTTTTCGGGTTACAATTAAAAAAACATGTTACAAGAAAAAAGTATGTAAGATTTTTTAAAAGCATATAGCAAAGTATTTTAATTTATTTGAAAATAAGTGAAAAAAGATTTTCCAAGGACGGTGTCGAGGTCACGGGGTCGGTGTCGTTTTTAGAAATTTGTTAACTTAATATAATAGAAGATGTTTCGTTTTAAAATAAGATATGTTAAATTATTAAGTTAAAAACAATTGATTTCAATGACTCTTAAAA